ATATAATTAACTATCAAATTAGCAATACTTTAATTAACAAAATCTAAGTGAGATTTAACCACTCTAGTAGGTTTAGGTTGCAGATAAATTAGATTAAACTAGGTAGTTTTAGTACATCTATAGTCTAAGTCTCATTCTTGTAAACAATTTGTAAACTTGACCTTTGGTCAAAGAAACTCCTTGTAGATTTTTAATACAAATTATAATAAAGATAAAAGCAAAACCTCACCTTATAAAAAAAAAAAAAGCAATGTGGTTCTCTCAACATCAGATGAAAAACATCTTTTCTCTATTTTTGCAAATCAACCGAAATGTTACCTGGTTTTTCCTTAATAACAATCACAAAAGATCTATATCTTATATTAGTTTTACTTTATGCCAAGAAAAAACATTTAAAATCAAGCTAATGCTAAGAATACTACCTACATTATCTTACTTACATTCTCTTTATCCAACAATATATTCTAATCTTAATTGCATTTTATGCAATATATATAACAGTCAGCTATATTGGCTAATCTGCCCAAACTTATTTACACTTAACTCAACTATTACCAATATGATACAACAATTCTTTAATTATTTACAACTAGATATAACAACTATACAATTAAAAGAACTATACAATAAACTTACTAATCATCTATGTCTCTTCCTAAACAATCTTATTAGAAATCACACAAATATATATACAATAATACAAGGCTTTATTCCATTCTTACTAATTAATACTATATAAGAATACACAATTAGCAATCAGCTAGCAATCTGATATTATAATAAAATTTCTAATTCAATTATTACAAAATATCTACAATCAAATTTGGAAACCTTACTGCATCAAACTATCTGAATAAAAGCAACAAAACAATATTTCTAACTAACTATCATGTAACCAACAAACAAATTATACAAACATATTTAGATTCTTAATACAAGCCAAAACAGTATATATTTATAGTTGCACTTGTGGTCTTTCTAACCAACAACATACTAGAGACTTTTACAATTCTTATACTTGCCTATCACAAAGAAAAGCTAATAAAAAACTAACTAAATAGATATCTGAATAGATAAACTATAGTATTTCAACTAATCATATTTTACATTATTAAATCTAGGTAAGTTTTAATCACTCTAGTAGGTTTAGGTTACAGATAAATTAGATAAATTAGATAATAATTTCATCTATAGTCTAAGTTTTATTCTTGTAAAAAATTTGTAAATTGGCTCCAGCCTATGTTAACTATGTAGTTGCCTATAACAAATTATTAATAAAGATAAAGACAAAACCTCACTTTAACACCAAAAAAAAAAAAAAATCTTAATCTTTTAGATGTTACTCTATAGATATTCTCAGAAATTGTATTTTTAATAATTTTATTGATTTTATTATTAATAGGTTTGTAATATCAATTTTTTAGTATATTTGCTTTTGATATTTTTTTTATATGTTAATAAAAAAAAAACCTAATCAATTTTAAATTTGCTAAATTTTTTTTTTAATGTTAAGTATATGTGAGTTAGGATTTTATTGATAGTATATATTGGCTAGCATCTGTTAATGTAACAGACACAAAAGCAATTATAGAAAGAATATTCAACTAGCCATTTATACAAATTTAGTTATTGTTTAATTTAAATAGTTTATCCAAAGGTTCTACACTAGTTGCTATATCTAAAACCTACTTGTAGATTCTCTATTTAAATATTTTGATCTTATATTCACTATATTTTACTAATAACTAATAAACTGATAAAGATATGCTATAATTATTAAGTTATTTTTAACTTTGTACTAAATTTACTGAAGTTTTCTGTATCTTATACTTATAGCTGACCTGGTATCACTTTGGCCTAAACTATTAGTTATAGTTAGAGCTAAACATTAAACTGCTATACTCTTGTAAGGTTCACTTAAACCCTAATATCTATTTTTTTAATATCTTCTTTATCATCTCTTACTAGTTATAGCTAAGAACCAACAAAACTTTTTAAATTTCTAATTCAAATAGTTCAATGTAATATACCTTTAGTATTCTTTTTCTTCTGATAATTCTGGTAGCCTGGTTGATTATATGCTCTTCTATATATCTTATTATCCAGATTATCTGTCTATTTTTACTAAAGGTGTTTTATAGACTTCCATTAGTCTAATAGCATTATTAAAAGTTTGTATTATCTCTTTACTTGGGATTGTTAAGTAGACTTCTAACTTCATAGTTCTTTTACTTTCTGTACCTAGTGGTTTTATCATAGATTTGTACCAAAGTCTTATATAATACTGGTTATTAACATTTCTCTATATGAATAAAATATTATATTTGTATAAATGCCTTAAGCTTCTATTCGAGATAATATAACTGAAGATTATAAATATACTAAACTAACTGATTGACAGAGTTAGTTACTATAATACAAATATAATTTTTAAAATTTATCATTCATGAAATCTAAGAAAACTTTATTATATATACAAGTATATTTTTTTAAAATAATACAATAGTTCAAATTTTTAATATAATAGATAAATAATTTTATTTATAATATTATAAAATTTTTTTCTTGATTAATTAAAAAATAAAAAAATTTTATTAATAATATATATCAATTTTAGATAAAAATTTTAAAAAGACATACAAAACTATATAAAAATAATCTATATATACTCTATTTTTAAGTCAAAACAAAATAATTTTTAATAAAACTTTAAAGTTAATGTAATATTAACATTAAGAGTTTTATATATTTTTAATCATAATTTTTGATATATCAAACTTAATTAGATGAAACATCTACCATTGAATTCAGCTCATCAAAACAATTCTAATAAGCATAAGATTATATAATTTTGATTACAAGATCATAAGATTAAAATAATTTTGATGAAAATATTAATTTTAATACATATGACTTGATTATGATTGATTCTCATTACTGTATCAGAAATCTAGCAAATATAACAAATATAGTATTTATATTAAATCTAACATATCTAACAAATCTAATAGATATTACATATTTATCATATTTATTATTTCTATTATATTTACTATATTTTTTATATATATTATATTCATTATATCTATTAGTTCTTATATCTTAACATTACTATATATAATATTTATTAGTTCTTATATCTTAATATTACTATATATAATATTTATTAGCAATAGAATAATCTTTATTATAATTATTTATATATATATAATATCTATAAAAGCATTATTTTCTGATTCTTTAAAAAAATTAAGTGTTTTCACACATTTCATAGTTAATAAACTAGATATAATATTTAATATCTTTTATATACTATCTATTGTTATCTTTATCTTAAAATTTTAAATCATTCTGTATATTGTTAAGTCTTGTATAGAATCTGTCAAGTTATAATCATTATACTATTTTTGTTATTGTTGTATTTAAAGAAAAAACTACAAATTTCTAATATATCTAATGAATTAAATATTAAACTAATCCCTTATACATAATTATTAACACTCAAATCTAGGTAAGCTTTAACCATTCTAGTTGGTTTAGGTAGTAAATAAATTAGTCTGAGCTTCTATTCTTTCTATAATATTTTAAAAACAGAATTGTATTTCATGTAAAATCTCAATTAAATATTCAATAAAAATAAAAGCATGACCTCATCATTAATATTAAAAAAAAAAAAAAAAAAAAAAAAAAAAAAAAAAAAAAAAAAAACTACAAATTAACAGTAAGCTGAAATTATGTTGATATCAACCAAGATTTTTAATTGATTAGTTTGATCTGAATTAAGTTAAGAGTCTAGCATTACCATCATAAAAAATTTCATCAACTATATGATCTTATTGAAAAAATTGTTTTGCAATTAGTTTAGAGTTAAGGTTCTACCAGTAGGTTGATGTTTGGTTTAAAGGATTATAGTTATAATAAAATTTATGAGAAATTTTTTTTTGTTAATACGCAGCAAGATTTGCATTACACAAGATCTTGAAACCTGATTGAGTAACGAAATTTTTTTTACAGGTGATTTAACTGCTATTAATCAATCTAGAAACCGATTTATATAGATATGCATTATAGTTACACAACGTGTGATGTTCATTCAACACGCATAACTTTTAATTAAAAAATTTTAATTTGCTTTAATGAAGATGAAATAAGCCTTTTTTGAAAACCTATTTTCATGACATGTATAATTACTGTCAGATATTATAAAAATAAATGATCCATTAGATTAATAGAAAAACTAGTAAATAAGTATTGAATATTATAAATTAACCCTATAAACCACTTAAATTATAAGTAGCCAACATATAACTAAATTAGTATTTGGGATGGAATCGTGTAAAAAACTTATATGTAAATTACTATGAGGAATTTCAATTACATGATAATAATTGTCTTGAGCCAATAATATCATTCTCCGTGATTTATTTTTATAGGTATATAACTTGGAGCAAAAAATTGTGAAAATTTTGATTTGGGCAAAAAATTTTGGATTCTTTTGAAAAATTGCTTTCAAAAGATTTCTGTGTCCCTGCCGTCGAGTCGGGCCAACTCGTACAAGTCAGCCGACTCTGGTAATATATCTACTCATAACCAACTTTTTTATTGAATAGATAGATATCAATTCAAAATCAAATAAAATTAAAATTCAAAAAATCGCAAGAACGGACTGTTTTAATGTGTAACACATCATATATTAAATATATTATATGATATATCTCTTGTAAAGATGCTATTATGAAACGAAACATACTGTATTATTTTATATAAACATCTATATATCTGTCTATATATACATATTAATGTATAAATGAAATTTTGTATCGCTTTTTATTTTTGTTCGAATGTATATTCAGAAAATTAATACTAATTTTTTCTACAAAGCAAAAAAATTTATTTTTTATTTTACACTTTTTTTTTTTTTTGAAAATCAATTCAAGTTCCAATAATTTTTTTAATAATGATTTTCATATTTACAGTAAAGAATTCTGTTGCACTGCATATTAAGAATTCCTCTTTAAAACCCTAAAAATTTCTACCTCTTCAATAGTATACATTAAACCTTTTTCACATTTATCATGACGAGATTCACGATTAAAAACGCTCAAACCTTTTCCATATCTAAAATCTAAACTCATTTTAGAACCACCTAAAAACATATCGAAATCAAGATGTTTGTTTATCCATTGTAATTTTGGACAAATAATTTTATCATCATCAAAGGAATGATCATCGAGCCATTGAAAAATAAAACCATCACCACCATCCACACATTCAATTTTTTTTATTTTATTATGTTTTCCTTTTGTTATTTTTTTCTCTTTCCAACTAGCTGATTTATACCCACCGAATAATCCTTGGTTAGAAGTTTTAATAATCGTTAAAGTAGGACCTTGATTATGAACTTTCTGACACCATAAACCATCAGAAATTCTTTTACCCTGACTTCGAAATATTAAATCAAATTCGAAAGGTAAAGAATTAAGATTATAATCTTGAATCATCTCTATAATGGGAGGAGGAGAGTATTGTTCACGTTGATCCTCAGGTATTTCGATCCAAGAAGAAATAACGGATATATGAAATTCCGAAATTAAAGTAGAATTTAATCTAAGTGGATAAAATTTATGTAAAGGGAAAGAATTTGGATTTTTGTGATATTGAATTATATGATTATATAAATCATCATCAAGTAATAGTTTGTAAGGACCAAATTTTTCATTAAAATAGCATGAATCCATTTTGAAAAATCTAATCAACGGAATAAAATCTTTGATTGTTGATCGTAAAGCATCAAATTGATCGACCGACCAATTTTTTACATGATCAATTACATCCACCATATCTAAATCACGAGTATTATAAACACCCCATTTAATAATAGCGTCGAAAATAGATTCCTCATCGAGACCTAAAGTATCAAACTCCAGTAATTCTCGGACATATTCAGGAGGTACAGATAGAAATTCCTCGGAATGAATAAACGCTATCGGATTACGCAACATTGATTGTTGACAAACATTTAATAATGTTTTGCAACGAGTTATTCGAGTTGACACAAGTAATAATTTATTTGTTTCTCTTGCGATGTAATGTTTTTCAGTTTGAATTATGTTGTGTTCAAGGTAGTCAATGAAATCATCCATCAATAACATATCAGCAGTGTTCATTAGGTGTATTTTTTCGCATGGTTTAATTTCATCCAGGGGTAAACAACCACCATAAATATATCTATAAAAAAGTCATTTAAATTAATGAATAAATTAATGAATAAATTATAGGATAATAAAATTTTGAAAGAAATAAAAGAAATAAATATAATATGACATCATACTTAAGAACTTTGTCAAATACACTTTCAGGTATATTCATTTCACATAAATCAACTTGAAAAAAACCATCATCATCTTTTTTACTCCAACAAGTTGATAAAGAATTTTTAAAAAATTGAGATCTACTTCTCAATATTAAAGAATGAGCTTTAAAAATACGAAAATTTGGTTTTGTTCCAACTTTAATAGTTACATCACAATATTCTTGTTGATTTAGTAAACACAGATAATCTGTGGATAACTTATTCCATAATTTTTTTAATATGCTTGCAGACATTTTTCAAATCAATTGATACGCGAGAAGAAAGGAACCGAAAAAGTTGCTTGCTTTATATAAGTTTTAAATAATATTTATATAATTTTAAGGATTTATTTTTATTAAAAATTAATAATTTTTTATTTTGTCCTTTTTTATGAAATTTAAGAAATCAGATCTGCATATAAATATACGAATTTGTAAACTTACAGCATCTTTGATATCAGAAAAGAAAGACAAAATAACTTTGCATATCTGGGAGATATCGCTTCGAACAATAAAAAAAAAGATGGCTTGGAGTTTTTAATTGTCCACGTGGGTAATGCTGATAATACTGGGTAATACCGGATAATACTGCGTATTATATTCGGTTTGTAGTAGAAGTTTGCACGTAAGAGAGTTCCCGAAACAAAACATTCTTGCTAAGCCATTCTTAAATAAAAAATTGAACTGCTATAAAAGGAAATAAGCTTGTCTCAAGAACTGACTTTTTTTTTTTATATACTAAAAAAAATAAAAAACAAATAATACCCTCCAAGATTTTTAAACTATAGCGATAGAGATGACTCATGTTAATATTTACTGGCATTACGCTAATCTGTATTATCGATATAAAATTAGATATATTGGACTCTGATGCATTCTAAAAGCATTCTATAAGCCTAAATCACCTGAAATATTACAAGCCACCAAAATAACTAGCCATTATTGGGGATTAAGTACGTAGGGTACGTACATATTTTCACACATGCATCAAATACTGTATATAAAATAAGTTAACATGGGAATACATACAGTACGTAGAATCAAAAAAAAAAACAGTACGAATTGCATATTGATATCGATACCGATATAATTCTGTAATTACTGAATTAATCAAATCATAATATATACCAAATTGATGCATATATACTTGATGCATGTGGAACAGTAACATATTGATTGATAAGAATTTATGATATAGAAATATCTGAGATAAATAAATTATTCTTAGACGAACACAGATTTTTAAAAATGTATTTAATATGTGTGAAGGAATTGGATTGACTCATTAGAGCATAACGATAATAAACCATTTAATCATTATCTCGCTTCTAAAAATCTTTAATACGTACTACGTATACTTTTGATTTCATTACTTACCTATTTAGGTTATAACAATGCATAGACTTTATAATTTTTTATGTTATTTACTTCTTTCCACCTTATTTGTACCGATAATCACATCTACATTCATTTACCGGTCATGCCACGATCCTCGTTTTTTTTTCGATCCATATTCTACCACCATTGATCACTTTGAAAAACGCAACTATGAACATGAATGTTGTGTGCCTTGTAATTGTGCAAACGATTATTGCAATCACAATTGTGAATCTTCTAGAGGATACGATGAATGTGGGAATTTCCAAGATTGTGATGATTTGAACTTTGTTATTTGTGAACCTTACGAAGATATAGAAGCTGGAAGTATAAGAATGTCACGTCCTGATAGAAACCATCAATCCTTTTGTCCTCCAACCACACCAATATGTAATGGCGCTTATTTGGATTAGTTAATTAATTAATATCTATAAAAGAAAGTGCTAACACTACGATTAATTAAAGAATTATATACTTATTTTTAAAATATGTTTAATAAATTATTCAACCTTTTTTGGAAAAATGATTCAATTGCTTTAACAAGGATTTTTTCGTGACGATAAAAAAAAAAAATGGTTAGACAAATTATCTCTAGTTAATCTATTCAAAATTCTATATAAAAATAGTTGATTAAAGCTTTTTAGAAATATACATCATAAAACTAGAAATTGCTTGTTGAAACGAAAATAACAAAATCGGGTACGTATTTACGTACATATTATTATTTGGAATTTATATAATACTGTATAAAATTTGTACATATAAGTATCAGTATATGTATATTTAAAATCTAATTTAACACATGTATGTACCTTATAGCTTCCTTATTTAAGGCAAAAATTTTAAGAGTATCCCGTTTTACCTATTGCTATTATGATTTGAAGAAACTGTATGAAACTATGTCTACCCCAATACAGCAATAGCGATAGTATCGCTCATGTATACTTAAACGTCATAATATTCAAGTGAAACAAAATCATTTCTATGTATTGCTTGTTCACGTGATATATACCAGAACGATTTTACTGTATATAACAAAGGAATATAGATCACCAATTTCTAAGTGCTAAGTGCTAACCCTAACAATAATTAGACATAAAAAAGTGATTATCTCAAATCAGCCCCAATATCGATATGTGCGCAAAACGAAAAAAAAACGAAAAAGCAAAAATACAGGAAACGAGTGTTTAGATCCATCTTGGAGCACTAATTAAAAATGACGAAATGAAATTTTACATGTAAAAAAAGGATAATTGGTTTTTATCAACTCTACTTTAACATCCTAACCCTAAAATTGTAATTTCACGAACTTGGTTCAGTTGTGCTGAATTTTGGTTGATCTATTAATACAACTCATACAGGGGGATCCCCAAAATTCCGGGTCGGAATACATCGGAATCATGATCGGCAGGGCCGGAATTAAC